AGTAGGTACAGCTTCACGTCAGCCACTTCATCGTAATGGCGGGAGATCCGGTTGAGTGGAGCTTTGAGAACTTGAAGTTTCATCCGTACTTTGAAACAAATTTCTATTCGCTCTTGGGCCAAATTGCTTCTTCTCGAGTAGTGCCGTACTTGAGACCCTCGTGCGTGGGCAGTGGATCCAGTGGTACTGATCTGTCACTTACTGACTGCCCCTAAACTGCTTACAAGGCGCGAGGCATCGAGGAGGAGTTAAAACAGAAGGGGTTGGTGTTAAAGGCGACGCTGTGGACTTGTAGAGGTGTGTGGTTTGAATCTCTGCCGATGCCTGCCATCGTGATGAGGATTTCTTCAGTGTGTTTGAGAGGTTACATAAATTAGCGTCTTGTTTCACGGTCGTCATGAAGAAATACTTAACCTAATAACTCGTCTGTCATACCTTCTTCGCAGCTTCATTTTATGCTGTAGGGTATAACCTCTGCATGTGAAACAACGTCGTTAAATAACTTGAAAAAGATTTTAATGTAATAGATTATTCTATAATGCACTCCGATACATGGTGATTTCAGTTGTAATAGCCCATGTTGCGTTGTCGTCGAGTGATATGGGAATGTAATCGTGAATGATGAATAGCGAGAGATTTGGAAGGAGAAGGGCTGATTTATTTCGTGGATAGTGCCTGAAATTAGGTCATTACTGCACCCTTTAAATTTTTTTTTTTATATTTCGACACTACTGTTAGTGTCGTTAAAATACAAATAAATAAGCAAATAAGAAATTACTTTGCCTCTAAATTTCATGTTTTTATATGAGCGTGATGAATAGAGAATAACTTGTAACTCTGTTGGACGTGCTACGTATATAACCGTAGGTCTGTCATAGTTACAGGAAATTTAATGATTATCTACAGGTTTATGACAATGATTGTTTGTGCGACAGTACCCATTGCCTGAGGCAGGCCTGTGTTTTATATACACAGTTCATTGGGATTTGGTTATATTTTCGAAACGTTTTCTGTTTCAGATTTAGTTCAGAGACCATGAACAGTGTCCGATATAACCTATTATTGTAAATATATAATTGGTGTCAACACGATAGTGGAGAAAATATTAGAAATATATTAAATATGTCTTGGACTGTGGGAATTTGTAGAAAAAATCTTATAGAACTTTCCTTTCTGAACGGTGAATGTGTTGCGCTGCAGATATGGTTCTTGCTTGAACATCTGTCGAGACCGGCTTTATTCGTGAGTTCCATCAGATGAAAACTTCGATTTTCGATTTATTTACTTCGTACTCTTTGCAAATTAAAAATTTATTTACATCTCAGTTCCAGTCGCTTTAGAATCGCCTAGAAAAGTCCGAGATCTTGTAATGTAGGTACAGTATAAATAACTAATACGTTTTAAATGTATTTTCAACTTCGCGAGAGACGTGTCTTTCGAACTTGCATGTGGGTGCTCCGAAAATCGAATCTTGAACCTTTATTCAACGGAAACCTTTGTTTGTCGGAAAGTGTACTGAGCCAGTTGATAAGACCGACGGCCGATATAAACTCATAGGTGAGATTTAAAATTCTTAGAGCGGCGAGTATGAAAATGGCTGTCTTCTTGGTCGTGTAAACTCGTGGAAGTTTACCGACGTTTTAGAGGTGCTGGCTGTCTTAATTACCAGGCAGATGAATGGTGATAACTCTGATGATGGAGGAAGCAGGGTCCTCTGAAACGTCGGTAACGTCTATCAAGCTACTCAAGAGTACAGCCGCCTGTATGGAAAGTCACTTCTAACAAACTGAAACTGTTTTGGGAACGGAAAGGAAAAACGACGTGGCGGAAATGGTGAAGTAATGTTTTTCTGCTGTGTAACGATTCTGGAAAAAGCTGGAAAATAGGCCAGTTAGTCACGATAGCAGACAGAGGAGTGTTGACGCCGTAAATCATAAGATGTAAGTATAAATCCCCCGTCGCTATTTCTCTGAAAAGTCTGTAATCTTTACAATTTAAAATATGTTTCTAAGGCTAATGTGATTCCGCTCATTTAATTCGCATCAGCAGTTCTTATAACGTTGCTAACTTTTGTATGAACCAACAAGGAACTTTTCTCTTTTACTCTGCTTTGTAAATTGTTTGAGGGAATTGTTTTTTTTAAAGAATATAGTAAAGAAGTTTCACGAGAAGATAGGAATCTGTATGGCGTTCTGTGGTTGCCAATTGCAGATGTAGATAACGGAACAAAAGTAACTAAAGAGGGAAAACTGAGCTATCTCAAGTTTATGTTATCTTCGAAGCTCTGTGTATTTTCTTCTAGAACCTCTCCGTTTGCTAGTGGTGTCCATTGCATTTATGTTGCTTTCTTATAAGTTTTCTGTCCTGTGTGTTCTACTTCCGTTTTAAGGACATTGAATGCGGTCTTGTTTCCGCTTCGCAGACAAAATTATTTTAGAAATGCTTTCAGGCGCTAGTAGGAATGATATGGAGTTGCATGTTTTTTGTCTTCGAGATTGGATGGAAAACGGGTGTGTGTGATTTCTTATAAAAGATGTATGAAACGTTTTTGAAAATGTTTAGTTTTATTGACTTCTCGGCTAATTTTGGAGATTTGTTTGTTTGTTTTGTTTAAAAAAAATAATTTTTGGCCCAACCCAACATAATCTAACCCAACCTAACGTAACCTAACCTAACACTAACCTAACCTAAACCTAACATAACCTAACACTAACCTAACCCAACCTAACCTAAACCTAACCTAACACTAACCTAACCTAAACCTAAACCTAACACTAACCTAAACCAATCTAACCTAACCTAACGTAACCTAACCTAACCTAATCTAACCTAACCTAACGTAACCTAACCTAACCTAACCTAACCTAACGTAACCTAACCTAACACTAACCTAACCCAACCTAACCTAAACCTAACCTAACATTAACCTAACCTAACACTAACCTAAACCTAACACTAACCTAACACTAACCTAACCTAACCTAACCTAACCTAACACTAACCTAACCTAACCTAACTTAACGCTTGTCTACATGATTCATATGAAGGCTATACGTTACAGTTTACTATTTTAGTAACAGATAATACCAAAACAATGCTGCACGTCTCATTTGAACTTTAGAACGTAGTGGTAAATAGTTATATGTCCAACCTGGTTTAATAATTAATAAATATGCTTTTTATTTGTATGTCCCGTGTGATTATTAGTGTAAACAGGTATTACTTCCGTAAACAGCGTTAACGAGTTGTGTTTTCTTTCCGGTACGGACTTATCTCTTATTTAGACGACCTTCGGTCTCAAGGGATTAATATTTATTTCACTTCTGTTGGTGACCGGTTCGGACCTGACGATCAACATGTCGTAAAGAGCACGAAATGAACACAGACATGTAATTTCCGTTGTCAACTGAACAGCGCTGAATGTTTCAATGTAATTTGCAATTAATAAATTGAAGTACAGAACGCGTTAGAATTTGTTACATTGCAGTGTGATGGCTGTATATGCGTATGATCAGAAGGAATGGATCCACGCCCATGCATAATGGCGAGGTGGGGCTAGTCGTCACACTAAGTGACGCAACTTGAAGAGAAATCTGACCTGCATGTGTGTGAGTGAGACAGGTGCGCCTGGCATTCAGACTATTCAGAACAATTTATTGGATTTTGGGCTGCTTATCTAATAATTCCACGAAGGAGAAGTCGAAACATTTCGGATAAGCGACTTTTTAAAATGGCGAGATAGAATCGATATATTTTAAGCAATTTGATTAAACGATGGTTTCCGGTTTAAAAAAGTAAAGAAATGGTAAGGGGGTTTCTGAATTTTTGTAGATTGCTGGACCAAAAACAAGCAAGCGAGGCAGACATTTTGACTCCTCTTTATTTCAAAGGAATCGATTACACCATTTGAGAATATCGGCTTGGTGGTTGTATCGAGTGCGCGGAGAAACACTGTTGATGGAAGGACTGTTGCTGTTTGGGCTGTGACGCTAAGTATGTCCCCCCCCCCCCCCGCCAAAAATAAAAATCTTATGTCTCCTTACAAGTCGCAGCAAAGAACAAGAATTACGTACGTTCGTCGTCGCCTGTAGTCTAGTAGAAGTTACCGACGTTTCGTAGGTGTCTTTCGCCGCCGTCATCAGCTGTAGAGATATGAAGTTTTAGCCTCTGCTACGATGTGATTTGGGTGCTCTACGTGTATTGGCACACTTGTATTTTGTGGAAATGTCTGTACGCTATAGCATCACATTGTTATTGTCTAACTTGGTATGTATATTCTATTCTTTTTGAAGAAAGATCAAAGATCTTTATCTGAAAATAGCCAGTATGGCTAGAGACTTGCCTCGTTTTCTCAGTCGTCTTTTACAACACGTCTGAGGAGATTTCCAAAGCCCTTTGTCTTATAGCCTGTTTTTGTATTCTCTTTTGAGTGTGTTCTTTCTGCATCTCTTTATACATCATCTGGCTTTTATCTTGATTCCGAAGCTGTGTTCAACATAGCACTTAACGTAACACTTGAAGCATTGTTTCTCAGGAGGTTTGTGACAGCGGTTAACATATGCAAATATTAAGGTCGCTGTATATTGTCTACGGTAGGCATATGTTATTTGGTACACACGACGTTTCGGGAAGTTGGATTTACTCCTCAGGATATTGGATGTCATTATTCTGACATGCTGTAAATTATGTTAGTTTTGGCGATTGCAGTCGGAGTTTCACATGCGACGTTTCGGGACGTTGGATTTACTCCTCAGGATATTGGTTGTCATTATTCTGACATGCTGTAAATTATGTTAGTTTTGGCGGTTGCAGTCGGAGTTTCGAGATTTTCAATATTTAGTTAGCGCGCCGTCCCAATGGCGTAGTGAAGGGAAAAAAATGGATATGCAAAACTTCGAACTTGGTTTGAAGGACAGAGAATTATACGGGTTCATAGTGCAGAATGAAAGGATGTTCTTCAGTTTGAACGTTTCTGACCAATGTTTATTTATTTTTTCCAGATTGATGGCACGCCAGCGGTAGTACAACCCCTCAACTCTTCCTCCCAGAAGAGACGAGGAAGAATTCCTCCACATCCCTTCACCAACTCCCCTTTCCTTATTCCCTACTCCGACCGAAGACCTCTCTCATAACAATAACCATGGATCACAGCGTCAAAGCCATGAACTCTCACCGAAAACTGGCATTCTCCCGCCTTCTGAATCGCCACCGGTTTGAGAACGACGAGCTGGAGGGTTTGTACCAGCGCTACATCTTCAAACTGCAGCACTCCTCCGTGGCAAGTGTGGTGGCACTGTTTGTGATCTTAACGGGTATCCTCGCCAATCTGAGCCTCGCATATGCGCAGGCGCCCACTGCGCAGAACATCTACCACAGCCTCCACTGTCTCCTGTTCGCTCTGCTCCTCGCCTTTCTCAACACTCGATTGATGCAGGACGCCTACCTCCTTTGGGTCTGCTACGCCATCCTGTTTTTCTGCACCACATTCTGCGCCGTCGCCATGCCCCTTGGTAAGTTCTTCCGTCTTTTGTTTTGTGGTTATAAATGGATGGGTCGCGACTCCCCCAGTGGTGTAATCGAAGGACGTCTTGCGGAATCGTTCTTCGTAAAATAGAAATATGTGGCAGTTTCAAGGAAATTAGTGTTGAGAAAACAAGACTTGAGAATTATAATACGTAACGAAATTCACATATGCGTTCTTTTCAGATTCTGAATACTCGTAGCTGAAATAAATGCATAACATATCATATATTACGTAAACTTTACCATCAGTGTCATTCATATGAGGGTTGAGGTACCAATTCTATAAGCATTCTTGCCTTATAGTGTAAAACTTCAAATATTTTCGTAACTTTTTGTGTAAACGACTCTTTTTAAACAATACCGAGTGACCTTGAGTGTTATAATTTCTCAGTACCCGCGGAAAATGTATTGAAAAAGTACAGTAGCTTTAGGAACAAACAGGTTTTGAAAACAGACAGAATGACTGACGTTGCAAAGAAAAGTGTTAAGTGTAGATGGTAAAGTTAATGTGATAAAATAAAATTGAGTTTAAAGAAGAAAGCTGATGTGCCGGTAACGTAGTTTACATAATTCCACAGTTCAAACCAAATGGAAAATAAGATCTGGTTTTTATTTAAAGTGAATTTTGGTGCTGTACAAAATGATTTTGTATATTTCATCTTGAAATATGACACTCGTTAATAACGACGTAATATCTCCGGTACCTTGGATGACGTTGTAACCTAGTTTGACTAAAATTAAATTTGAAGAATTTTTATAATGAGGGGACGAACTTAAGGATCCTTTGTTTGTTTCCAGGTCCTGATGATCCTACCGCGGGCGGAGGGGGGTTGCGAGTCGAAACGCGACGCGTGCTGGCAGAAGGCGTGTGGCAGGTGGTATTCGTCGTGTTTCTGGCGTACGCCATGATGCCTCTCAAGACGTGGGTCGCTGCTGTATTCGGAATATTCCTTCCAGTGGTACACATCATAGTGGCGGCCATCTTTGCAAAGGAATTTCCATCTCTTACTTGGCAGCAGGCATGTGTAGTAGTATAATACATCGTTTATCGATGAATCGATTATATCGTACTCGTAGACAAAATATATCGATATTGTATCAGTGTCGACATCATTTTTCACCAAAAATGCAGGGAATGAGGGAAACTTTTACTGGAAAATAATTTATAAAACAAGGTTGGAAAGACGTAATATTTGGAGTACAGTGAGATTTAAAATTTCGGTTACGGACCATGTTGTAACAGAATGTCGATATAGTCGATGTATCGACTCAGGAATGTCGATATAAGTTAATATATCGAAAGCAGAAGTTGGTAGTTTTACATGCTGGTCTGTTGTTAGCATCTCTCAGGTATGATGTCGTACCAGCGTCAGAATTATCAGTTTATAGCTTTAATTTCCTCTTGTCTTGTGTGGTTTGATAGGCTAGTTAAAACCAGGTCTTTCAGAAGTACAAGACAATTCAGCGAAGCAGTGCCACATAATATCGGTTATGATTTCTCAGCTGTTCAAAGAGACGACAAGGAAATATTTTAAGGTGTGGGTATATTTTTGTAAGTGATTTGTACTAAGTGCGGACGGATGTTGTGTTGTGTGCCAACATTCCGCGCGTGAACGACTTCTCGTTACCACTTCAACAAGGACGATGTCTGTCTCACAAAATCATTGGCTGCAGCAGTGACGTTAATAGGATAACTGAAACGCGAACAGTTGACGATGATCTGAGGTGGTGCAGTGAAGGGGTAGAAAAGTTTGATTACATACGCGAGAAATTTAACTAAAAGCAGCCATGTTAACGTCACTCAATTGTTATAAGTTTATTTGTATATGTTTTTACTAATCCTTTGCATAATATTAGTATGTTTTAATATAAATAATGTGGCTTGGTTCGTACGAACGTTTTGTTTCGAGTCTGCTGGACAGATTTCGATAAAATTTGGTGTAGGCGTCGTCACTGAAACTCCAGTTTTCACGTTTTTATGCTATTGTGATATGTCGATTTTTGTTGGACTACGTGTTTCGACTGTGCTCAAGTCTTCATTAGGTCTTTATTTTATAATTTTTTTTGTTACAGTCTTTAAAATTCTTAAAAACTTGTTTGGCTAACTAGCAATTTTTCTCCGCCTATGTCCTCTGCGTGTACAGGAATGAAAAGTCAGATTTTAAATGTACAAACGGTTGGCAAAATAGGGATACAAATGTAAAACCGCGGATACTTGAAGTTCGCTGTTGGAAAACCTGCAAATTGCAAGAAAATTGCTGTAGCTATGGTTTAAATTATATTAAAACCTGTGTATAAAGTCAAGTGCACCACTACCGTCATGCCCGCAGCTTTTTTGTGTTTATAATTCCCCACCCCACGTACATGCACTATAACTGCGGGCGTTAGTCACGTGACAGAGTCTCGTTTGTTTCGTGTACAAAGTGTTTGACCTTTGCAATTATTTCTTCACAGACTTGTGTCAGTGCGCAGTTAATGCGTGCTCATATTGTGTACGCAACTAATACATCCATTCTATTATGCCAATGTGTCGGTACCATGTTATATATTTAAATGATAAAAGTATCTATTTAATATATAACTGCGCATAGGTTTGATAATATATCCTTGATCGACTGTAGAGAATTTATCTTGGTGATATACTAGCGAGCATGAAACATGTCTTTAAACCTAACGTTTTCTAACAGACTTCCATATACGAAGTCGTCATACCGCACATTGAAAATACCTGTAACGAAACTGTTTCTCCCCCCCCCCACTATTATCTTACCTCTCCTCCGCGCATACCAGCGGTCATCATAAAATAATAGGACTGTACCATACATGCCTGTTGTTTCGACAAGAATCAAACTGAACGTCGCGGTTAAGTGGTTAGCATTCTTACTTCGTATTCTTGAGGTCTCGGGTTAAAATCTCGGCCCGGAGACCGGCCTCTATTTTCGTAGTTTTCCTCAGTTTCTGCTAGTCAATGCCAGGAATTTGTCACAACCTCTTCCTTCTACGTTGTTTACAGTTGATTTGCTATTTTTCCTGCCGTTTGATAGGAAGTCGATGCGTAATTGAAGGCATAGTCAAATAAATTTGGCAGGAATTTATTTCGTTTATCGATGCTGGCTTGTGATTTCAGTTTATAAAATATCACAAATTCTTTCAGATGTCATATTAACTATCTACATGAACGATATAACTAGTATGTAACAGAGAAGGGTTCAGTTACGTGATTGTTGAATAAAATTTAGATGTAAATGCCATAGACCAGTGGTATTCAACCTTTTTTTGTTCGCGTACCCCCAGATATAATTTCTCTTCAACTTTGTACCCCCAAAGTTGTTGGTGTATAATTCAAGTTATACATAGTATATAATCTACATCTAAAATAAATTAAATAAATTACATTACTGATTATTCAGTGTTTATCATAAAATAAATTTTTTTTAAATTTCACGTACCCCCTAGGATGTCTTCGCGTACCCTCAGATATAAATTCTCTTCAACTTTGTACCCCCAAAGTTGTTGGTGTATAATTCAAGTTATACATAGTATATAATCTACATCTAAAATAAATTAAATAAATTACATTACTGATTATTCAGTGTTTATTATAAAATAATATATTTTTTTTAAAATTTCACGTACTCCCTAGGATGTCTTCGCGTACCCCAGGTTGAATACCACTGCCATAGACTATGCATATCGATCCGAAATAATATCCGACCACTGTAAAGAACAAGATGTAGCTTGTCTTATGCCATATGTATGCCATTACTCTCCTTGTTGGTGCGAGGCCCTTGTTTACAAATTGGCAACACGCCCCTGTCTCAGACCTTGATACAGAGTCGTTAAACGTCCAAGGAACGAAGTATAACTTTACAGCTTACGATGTTATCTAGAGGGACGAGATTTTAAAGTTGTTTCGACATAATTCGCCACGTGTTGAGGTCGAGTTTTATATAACGCTCATAAACCAGTCGATTGTTCTCGGTTGATCGATTTATCTAACCTCAGCGTCACTCTTGTGTACTGCCCATGGCTAATGAGACAGTTACAAGACGAATCGAAAAAGAAGTTACGTATCTGTGACTTGTAGGAAATCAAACTTGTAATTTACTGTCAGCTCAGCTGTGTTCAGTGCATGATCGTTATTTCTACAGTCGCTTATTTCTCGAAATGTAGATCGAAAGTTCCAGGACTGGGAAAGTTATCTCTCGTCCTGTTTTGTCGTCTTCTTTACGATTTATTTGAACTTTGAATAAATTGAAAACTTACAGTCGTAACGTTACATCAACGCTTTCGTAACTCATATTAGTGTTACTTATAAAAGATGCCTAATAGTAGCAGCATTGTCAACGTTGTCCCCAACTGCGCGAAATTAAATGTACCGCTCCGTATGTACGTGGAAACATACAGAAACTAAATTTCATTTATCTACAGTAATAAAGACAAATTAACCAAGACGTACTGTATCTGTTTCACACTACGTATTAGATTTTGAAATTAAAAATAGTAAATCAAAAGTAATATATAATTGACTGATAGAAATTCAGACTTGTCTGGCCGGCAACCCGCGATACGGGGAAGGAGGGAGGGGAAGTGGATTTTCGTAGTTTTTCTCAGTTCTTCCAGAAATAGAATAGGTCGTGACCGTGTCCTTTCAGATTCTTAAACACACGAAGTGTAATTTATGAAGTTGATAAATCATAAAAAATTACCTAAGGACATAATTTAATGGTGAATAGTTGTTTTCTTTACGGTACGGACTGAATTCTTAAATGTTATTTAGACGAGCTTTTGCTTCAAGGGGTTAAGAAACAAACGAGGTTTAGTAGGTTGCTTCGTTTGTGCTGTTATAAGTTAAAATACATTTATTACTCACAGGAAGTTGGATAATGGATTTCCTTCCGTATGAAGACAAGACAGTGATAGCTTCCCGTTCGATATTACGCCTAGAAGCCCATCCTAGTGTGAAACAGTTTCTAATTCCAGCGTCGTTTCAGCCGGTGACATTTTAAATCGGTCGAGTCACTAATTTAAAATAACTTAATGGGCTTGTTCCGTTTCATTATTGAAGTCTTCTTTCCGCGAAGTCACTAAAACGTGAAGATGGAATACTTGGGTATATTTTCGTGTTCACAAGAGCCCGACATCGGTCTCCAGTCCACATCGCTATACCCGGATTTACCTACGATGCACAAAAGAAAAAACTGTTCTCCGTCTATACCTAGGTCTTCCGAATGGTTTCCCGGCCAACTTTTGTATGCATTTCTTATCTCCCCGTGCTCGCTACATCTTACCGTTCATATTTTGAGCGTTTTAATATTGTTTGATGAGGAGTATAAATTCATCCGCCTTAGGTTTAGAAACTCTGAGCACCGAGTTTCACTTCATACAAAACAACAGGTAAAAAGTTTGGTTATGTGTATTTTAATCTTGACGTTTTTAGATAGATGATTTTGAACTGTATGTATATTCCCCGAATTTAGGGTGCTCTTAATTTCGTATTGAATGTTATTGGACACCCCTGAACGTTACAGGTGACTGCGAACGTGATTGTGTTCGTGTGCGTGAACGTGGTTGGCGTGTTCATGCACAACCTGATGGAACACGCGCAGAGGAAGGCGTTCTTGGACACCCGCAACTGCATAGCGGCTCGACTCGAAATGGAGGACGAGAATGAGAAACTGGTGAGTAGGAAACAGGCCTACCAACAAAGCAAGTCAAAATACCCCAGACTTCTATAAAAACTTAAGATAAGTTACTGTGAGATTCTAGGCTCCTAAGGTAACGTCTATGAAGATGGCTGCCTTCTGGGTTTTTGTGAAATTGACCGATGTTTCGTAGATACTTCTGCCTTCATCATGTAGGTGTTCTGGAAATTTTCCAGACGTGAGGCCTCGCTCGTAACTTCTGCCCACTAGCAGGCCTAACCATTATACTCGAGGACGATTGGAAAGCAATGGCAATGGTTTAAAAATCTGCTAAATTAAGCCTTCGAAGCTGAAGCACGTATCTGTAATTGAGAATTCAGTACGTACCGCAAAGAAAACGTAACATTTCACCGTTACGAAAAAAATTGGTTGATGCTGTTAAAGGAAGAACGTAACATTTCACCGTTACGAAAAAATTGGTTGATGCTGTTAGAGGAAATGATCGCTGTTACCAGTTATAACCATACGAAATACCAAATGAAGTTTTTTGTTGAAGAAGGTGGTGCTAAAGTTCTCACCGGACTTAAAATTGTTAGGCGTACCATTGCAAATATTCACGTATTACTCAATACTTTTCTTTAATAATCAGTCATTAGTGAGATATTTAATAAATGTAAATGCTGAGATATTACATTAAATTAGGCCACGACAACTTTCATCCTCAGTATTCCATTTAATTTTTTTTATTTGGACATTTTTTGCTCGAGCTTTTTACAGCGCCTTTAAATAAATTACAAACAAATAAGTAAATATTTAAGTATTACTTATCACACATACGTGTAAACCTGCGTGCGTAGACGTGGACACGAATTACGAGTCGTCACCACGCGTCTCCTTTTTGCGATTGTCCCGTCAGTGTGACGTCATTCATAAAATATTTTCATGTGCTATTACCTCAAGATGCAAGTCTGTGAGGAAATTGATGGGGTGGGGTGGGGGTTCCTGTAGTTTATAATAATACTACTTGACTGTTAAACAGCTATTCTCTTTGATGTCTTTGTTAGCTTTCTCTTTGTAGTGTCTGCGACCTTCAACAAGTGGTTACTGTTTTTGGCGCTGTCGGAACGGAACGTTTGCGAAATAACACCTGTATACCTAACATTGTTTTCCGCCCGCATGTAATAACTTGAGAATCCGTGAATGGATTTTTATAAAATTATATCTTTGGGAGGTTTACTAAAAATTGCTTACATGTTCCATTTTGCGTTTAAAATCTGACATAAGTAATGGACGCTTCAGTGTTTCCTTACGCATCTCGAGTGTAACTCGCTAAATATTTACCAGAACGAAAAATTTTCCGAACGTTTTAAGTTAAAATGTTAAAAAGTGGATGATAAATCTTGAAAGTTTGATTTTCGACAGAAGGAGTGCGACATAATTATTTCCATACGCGTAAATTTTCTCACCTGTGAAATTTCACGTTCTCATTTGCTAACGTTTCGGAAGTTCTTGCTGCCTCCATCATCAAGGCAGCAACTCAGAAGAATTTCGTCTTTATTTTTTCACTTATTTTTTCTTTTATGATCTTTGATTTATGAAATAAGTGATAGGGAGGAAATCTTACGATAAAATTTTTGTAGCTGAATCATGTTTACATTATCCAATGGTTTTAATTTATTTTGGAATTGGTAATTTTAGGGCCCAGAAAAAATATATGTAGGTAATTTTTTTTAAGATAGGTTTGAACATTGTGCGATTGAAATTTGTACTATGTACGGCCTGTTCAGATCATGACTAATATGTAACATGCGAAGTTTCAACAATACTAGAGGAATTGATTAAGTTCTTTATACAACGGATGCTCTTAAAACGTATTCCCCTGATTAGAGTAATTAAAATAATATGTCGACTGAGCTGTATAGGATTTCGTTCTGTTGAAACCTGGAGATTCGTTTCAGCCAGGGATTTTAAATGTGTTTGATGTGTTAAAGTTCTACGCACAGCTTCAGATCTCAAGCCCGCGTCCGTGTCCCAGAGCTGCGTTACCAATCTCTTATCCCTCCCAGACCGAAGGCTCCTGGGAGAAGACTTCTTATTCTAGTGACGGTTTCCACTAACCACTGTTATGGAAGTGACAAAATACCGTATTTCCTCGATTTTAAGGCGTAATCGATTGTAAGACACATCGATTTCAGAAAATTTAAAATATCGAGAGAAAAAATCGAGAAAATTTCGTAATAAATGTTATTTTATTATATTCTTTATATATGTCGTCTTTGTCTGACGTTTCCATATCTGTTTTCTCTTTCTTTATTGGCGTTTTCTTTTCTTCATGTCCCTTAGTATCTGTTTCCTCTTCGTCTTGTTTTATCTTCCTCTTGTCCTCCGTCAGCTTTCTTTATCGACATGTTTCTTCAGTGGTTCGCAGTGCGTTTTGGGTCTGTAAGGCAATAAAATCCCTTGATTACTCCTAGATCCTTCACATAGTCCGTTGTCACCTGTGCGTCGACGTCTCCAGGGAAATACTTCGTAAGCCATTCGACCCCTCTGTGTGTGGAATCGTTTCGTTATTTCCCCTTAGGAATTGCATAAAACCACGGAGAAACGTCGCTTGTGACGCTGTGTAGTCTTGTAGATGGTTCACAGTGTCATAGAAGAATATATCGACCCACAACACCACATTCGATATCTTCACCGCCATGAGAATCGATAAGAAGAAACGGATCGATTTATCGATTTAACGATTTATCGATTTAACATGCAGCTGTATCTTTGTACATTTAGAAACTCAACTTACAATCTAAAATTAACCATCCATCAGAGGACTTTCGAGCATGAAACGAATTAATTCAATAAAATTATAGCCAGGAAGAACTTTGATCACAAGTAAACAAGTAACTCAACAAGTATTATTGCTTGTCTCTTAGCTCGCTGTGGACATAATCTGGACCACTTAGGTACAAGTTGCGGACCCACAGTTGAGGAACACTGCCCTAGTGCATTGTTAAATAATACTCTTGATGTCTGAGGTGAATGCCTCGTATGAATCCAATCGTATGATGAAACGAGGCCTGTTTACATTATGAGTAATTCCGTTAGGGCCATGACTCACTTTCTTTGTCGAGAACTACGCTGAGCGATCCGCTTAAAACGCTACTCTGTAGAAAACAGTATTTTATCTCAGTGTACTATCGTCGCGTTTTCGTGTTGTGACCCTTGGTATCCTAGAGGATTACTTTTCTGATAGGCCACTGAAATGCCCTTGCTTTTTTCAAATTGATTTGCCTGAGAAGGTAAGTCGTGTTTTACGTGCAGATAGTGTCAGCTGTATCTCGCACGTGCAGTAGTTTTTCGAAGGGCCTTTAGGCCTATCCCACAGTCGAGCGAGATGTTATCGTGGAACACTACGTCACCACAGAGTAGTACGTTGCTTGTCTGATTCTAGAGAACAATGTCCCGTCAAAGACGTCTCTGCAAAAACGAAATTCCTCGTCTCTTGTGCAAAACAAGAAACATGATCACTGCACAAGAGTAATGACGAATGAAACTCTTGATGACGTCAGATAAGACTGTGGTTTCGGAATGCTTTCGTGATTCTTCGGCAAGAGAGCAGCACCGTTCGTGATACGCTGTATTGGTCTATGTAGTGTCAGCTATTTCTGGCGAACGGGGTGGTAAAAAATGCTGACCCCCACGACCAATCCAACAGTTTTTCGTAACGCCGATTCTAATATAGTGCGAATATGTTTGACGTTAATATGGGGAATGCTTTATGTGTGTGTATTTTACTGTGCAATTTATAATAAAATCTCTGTTAATAATTTTAATTTTCACTGCTGTTCTGTTTTATAGTGTTCAAATAAAGGCCTGTAATTATTTTGCTATAGGCGTAATTTGTAACGCTGTTGTCGTTAGGTCAACGACCTATCCTAATGTTAGACAGGTTGCAGCTTATATTTTTGTTTATAGGAGAGACTCCTACTGTCTGTCTTACCTCAGCACGTAGCCATGGAGATGAAAGCTGACATCATCTCTCCGGTTGAAGGACAGTTCCACAAAATCTACATCCAAAGGCACGAGAATGTGAGGTAAGACAATTCATGTGTGTCTTGATATTACGGTCTTGAAGCGATGTCTGTGCCTGACTGAACTCGGAGCATTGCTATAAGAATTGTGTTTTGGTTGACATATTTGTCGATGTTTGTCGTCTGGATAGTAACGGCGTGTGGATGTGATGGATGCGGTATGTATAGTGTTTACGTACAAGTCTACGCGGGTTTACTAGCCAGAATAAAAACATCGAAGTCTTCGCCGTCGTGTTCCTGGCGTTATGCTTGATTAAACATATATAACTTTACATTTTGTATCACCAACTAAGAAACGTAGAACAAAATCTTACTTTATATACTAAGCTAATTGTCGAAATATTTACAAGTATCAGGTTAAAAATTTCTGTGGTATTTCCCCCCCCCCCC